AAAAATAACACTGTCTCTGTCTCTTTTTACATTATTAAAACATTACAATTTATACTGTCTGACAACATACAAATCAAATGGAAAATACCTACCTGACTGCAATTAAAAGTTTTCTGAGCTGTCATTGAGATATTACATATCTTTTTGTAAATTAATCACTTTGATTTTTAAGCAGACTTAAAGCTAGTACGTGAAACCTAAGGTGGCATTTCTTATACATGGGCAACAAAGTATCATTTACTTGGTCATTCATCTGGGGGTGGGTATTTTGAACAGAAAATATCAAAGAAGTTCTCTGATGCCACACTGTGAAAGGGAGCTGACCCTGGATTTTCAAAGGCTATATAGTTAGTTATAGTTACCATTACCAAGCTAGAAAAGCTTCAAGTACAGGCCTGGGGATGGCTTCATTTCTGTTATCTGAGGGACAGGAGATGTTTGTCACCAGAAATTTAGCAACCTACCAGAAGATGTTTTGCACCACCACTGCTGTGGCCCACTGTTCCCCCCTACCCCTCCCATCCCGGGTAATATATGAATGTTGCCTACTAAGGCACTCAGAGGCTGTGATCCATGGCAGTAAAAGAAGCATCCATATCACTGAAATTATGGACCTTGGAAATGTTAAAAAGATAAGATAGTTCACATTTAGATAGCACTTTAAAAGTTTACAAAATGCTTCTCTTTGAATTAAAGCATAAAAGACCTGATGGAAATCTGTCAAGATAAAATGTTCCAATTTTCTAACAGCTTGGAAATCTCTTCTTATAAGGTGAATTTATTGAGGGGAAAAAAAAAGTTCTTCCTCTGCTACAGATGTGCTACTATGTGGGACTAAGCACCCCAACTCTGAGGGGTAAAAAATGGGAAGGACAATGTTGACCTATCTTAGTAGTACCATGAGAAATAAACATGTTTAAAGAAATTCCCAAATAAAATCTAACCGGGTCACCTAAAACTAAATAGAACCACCCTTTGTGATACAGATCAACACTGAGATAGTTGATTCTGAATACATATGAAGAAACAAAAAAAATATAAGATTGTCAGCTTGTTGCAATGAGAGGATACCACTACAACTAGTCCAATGATTAGCAGCCACCACTTAGAGGATCTAAGCTAGTACTGATGATGCATAGCCCTGTACTGAAACTAACAGTAGGGGCAGCTAGGTGGCGCAGTGGATAGAGCACAGGCCCTGGATTCAGGAGGACCTCAGTTCAAATCTGATCTCAGACACATAACACTTATGTGTGACCTTGGGCAAGTCACTTACCCATTGCCTAGCAACAACAAAAAACAAACAAACAAAAAGAAACTAATAGTAGAAGCTTCAGCCTCATAATATATATATTTCTTCCCTTTGCACTGGCTGACCCCCATTAACAGTAATTCCCTCCTCACCTCCACCTCAAAAAACCCCTCACATCTTCAAGATGCAGAGACTGTTTCTTTTTCTTTTTAGTTGTTTTATCCCCATCACTAAACACAAGGCCTAGCAGATAGAAAATATCTTAATAAATGCTTGTTGATTTGATCGAATGCTAACAGTTTGGTAACAACTCTGAATTGAAGTCTTAAAACTACATTCTACTGTATGTTTTGATTATTAGAATGATTCTGAGTAACTAAGAATGACAAATATAATTTTGTTAAAATTTTATTACATGACTACTTTAAAAAAATAATTTTCTTATCTATACTTTGGAACTATTTTCAAATATATGAATGGGTAACATATAAAAAAGGATTAGATTTATTCTCTGGACAGCAAAGGTTTATGTGGGACTGTTTTCAGGAAAAATTTACTAGCATCTGGCTCTAAAGGGTAGAATGGGCTAACCTCAGAGATGATAGGTTTCTCTTCTCTGGAGGTCTTCAAGCAAATGTTGAATAATCTCTTATTTGGTGGGGTGGAGAAGGGATTCATGTTCTGCTAGTAACTGAACTGTATGACCTGAGGTCCCTTCCAAACTCTGAAATAGGTGGAATTTCCAAATTTCAAGTGTTATCAAACTAGGCATACATTAAAATCTGATGTATTAAAACTGGAACACAAAAAGGGCATTAGATTTAAAATATGTAGATATCTATTGGGTTGTTTTTTTTTTTTTTGCTAAATAGGATTAGATTTCTATATTACTCCATGGAATAGCTGCAACAAGTTAATAATTTTTTGCAAAGCTGATAAAACTTGTTTCTTTTCATAAAGGCAAAAAACCTCTGATATATTTTTGAGAAATCATTTTCTTTACTTAAGAAAAAGCATATATAGTGATATGAAATGGATGAATTTCTATTATGACGTTCATATGCAGAACGTAAATACACTAACAACATAATTTTAAACTGTAGTCTGTTACCTTTTCTTTTTTTGGCAATGGGGGTTCAGTGACTTGCCCAGGGTTACACAGCTAATAAGTGTTATGTGTCTGAGGCTCAAATTTGAACTCAGGTCCTCCTGAATCCAAGGCAGGTGCTCTATTTATCCACTGCACTACCTAGCTGTCCCTAAACTGTGGAACAACAGTAAGGATTGAATTGTTTACTCAGTTAAGATACAAAGAACAAATTATGTGTGGGTAGGAATGTAAGTACATAAAGTTGCTAACAAAGCAACATAAAACATATCTTTACTTTAGACAGAGCACAGAACCTTATCTTAGACCGCTTAGAAGTCAACTGAAGGAGAATGCTGATTCAGTGAAAACGTGGGTTGTGACAGAATGCAATTTTGGCATAAAGCAAAAAAGTAATGTTTAAGCTTTAACCAAGTACATTCTCACTGGTCATCTTTTGTGAGTAACGAGAATGGAGAAAAGATGAAGAAGTTGCTGATTATGAAGACTGGGAAATCTGCAATTTACACTGTTTCCTTTTTTATCCCTCAAGGCCTATTAGAATGTGGACACAGTATTTTTCAAAAGCTGCTAAAGTCAGAGTAATATTCTAATTTGGAATTATTTTTCAATTGATCTTTCTGAATTATGTGTTTATGATAATCTTTTTGTAATTGCCAAAAAAAGTGTAGGAAAGTAGATGATGGAAATTGCATAAATATAAATCTGTAAATATATTAAAATTCCAAGCACTGAAAGAGCAAAAACAAGATGAATTTGTGTAAGGTCAGTAGTACCTCCAAAGAAGCAATAAATACACCACATGTAAACCAAAAGAGTTTCAAGCATTCTGTCAGAAACTCCACTCAAGGTAGTTAAATATTATTTTCCTGGGGACTCTTGAAAAAGCTAATTGTTTTAACGATGCAATGTTTTAAATTAGACAAGGATACTTTTCTATTTCAAGTGCTACTTCTGTTTTTGGAAGAAATTCATTTTTTAAAGAGAATGGCTTTAGAACACAAGTACAAGACCACTAAAACTAACTAATGGAGTAAACAGTAAAACTGTCGTAAAAAGTATCCTGCCACACTATGAACTTGGTTATAACATGCAGCCCGGATCAAACTGTGCCCCTTATACACCATGACATATAATGCATCTCTTTCACTATAACAAACTCTGACAGATATTATCCTTGTTTCTCAACAGTGTCATAGGGAGGTATTCTGAAAAGGGACTGGCTAATACTAATATTTTTACTCTTTGATCAGGGTGAAATAGAAAGTGTTAACTAAAGGGTATTTTCTGAACTTTGAAACTTTGGCTTCTACAACTCCAAGCACAGGTTCAATTAAAAGCTAACTACAACAAATAAATTGGCAAAAACAAATTATACTTTTACCTTTCCTCACACTCAATTATCCCCCCTCTTCCTTCAAGGTTTGAGAGAATCTTAAGAGAGAAAACAGAGATCACCACCTGTTCCCTAGGAAGACATCATGCTATTCTTTTTAGTTTGCAATATTGTCACTTCTGAGCAGTATGAGAGTCTCTAAGCCAAAAGGCCTGAACAGATTTATTCTCTTCATCTCTTTCTTTCAGTCTAAGGGGCAAAAACATGTGAAAGGAAACAAAAACCAGACATCCTGTGGCAATTGCTGAACCCTACCAGTAGGACAAGTCTCATATATATCCCATCTCAGAACTTCCCCCTTTTAGTCACAAGGCTTCACAAAGATCCACATTATCAGTACACTGTCTATTCAGGTCTGGTTTTCCAACATTCATCTTAAACTCAACTCTCTTTCAATTTGTTTCCAAGACACAGAAATGGACTCCAAAAGCTAGCTGAACTCCAGCCTAGTTCAGAGTGGTTCGTTTAAATACATACCCTAAATGGGTCACCGCATAAGCTTTTGGAACTATTCTGGTTTAGCAGGTAAATATTACTTTTCAAACAAGTTGCAGCTTCGTGTGTTATTTATAGTCTTTTTAGACCCTTTAACCTATAAGGTACACACTAAATCTTGGCATACTGTTCACATTTTCTTAAAATTTCACGACGTTGAAACATTTCTAATTGACTATACAAAATACACTCTTTTCTAAACAAGAACGACATAAGGAATTATGGCTAATATTAAGGCTATGAAAATAAAGAGGTCAAATTTATTGAGAGGGTAATTTTTTTTAAAAAAACGTCCTAGCTTTTGTTTTGCGATGTCTGAGGGCAGTATCGCAGAATTTTTCAGTCTGGAAAAGGCCTGGGAGATCATCTTTGACTGCTCTTGGTGACTCTCTTACACGGAGTGCCTCGAAGCCCTCCCCCAACGCTGACCCCCGGTCATTTTACAGTTTCAAAGAGCAGCTTTTGTGCCTAGGCCTCCCCGGGCCTAGGGGACAGAGGGAGCTCAAAGGCAACTCTTGCGCCCGCCGCTTTCGCGGACTCAGACCTGCGCGTGTAAGTCCCGAGTCGGCGTCACATTGTGTGGGTGAGGCCGCCGGTGAGGAGGCCTCCGCGCAAGCAAAACCCCCCAGAAGCCCGGGCAGCGGCGGCGGCGGGCGGGGAGGTAAGGCAGACCGGGGTGCCGAGTCCTCCCGCCCTTCCGCCAGAACGCCGATCCCGGCCCGCCCGCGGTCCGTCGGCCCCAGCCGTACCTTTGGCGAGGGCCACGGTGGAGTTCTCCGTGTCGATGGTGTAGAGGATGCCCTCGTAGCGGATCTCCGCCTTGGAGATGAGGCTGATCTTGCTGCCGATGTAGGGGGTCCCTCCGCTCATGGCGTCGCCCCGGCCCCCGCCGCCCCCGGAGCCCGGGCAGGATCCTTAGAGAGGCCGATCCGCTGCCGCTGCCGCCGCTCCCGCTCCCACCCCCAGCTCCGTCCCACGACGAGCTGGCCCGCCTGGCCTCGGCCCCGGCCCGCTCCGCCGACTACTGCAGCCGCCTCTCTCCCAACATGGCCGCCCTCCGCTCCGCTCCGCTCGCCGCGCTCCGCTCGCTTGCTCGCTCCCCCGCCCCCCTCAACCAGCCAAGTAGCCTTCCCTTCCCCCTCCTACAAACCGCGGCGGCGGCGGCGGCGGCGGCGCGGCGGCGGCGACGGCGGCGGCAGCCGAGGGGTATGCCGGGAGGAAGTGATCCCGTTTTGTCTCGCGAGGTCTCCTCGGGTCGGGTTCTTCTGCGTGGTGTCGTACCTGCCGGTTAGTGAAAGAGAAGCTGGCTTGCCTCGGGTTCGTGATTCGGCCGCGGGAAGCTCAAGCGCGTTCGTAGCTCCGGGCCCCGGAAATGCGTTACGGTGAATGAAGCCCAAGGAGCCCGTCACTGTGCGGCTTTTCATCTTAACGCTGGGCAACCTGCGGTCCAGCGAGCACATTTCCGGGGGTGCCGGGTCGTCTGAAGCCCTTGGCACAGACCCCCGTTTGCCTGGGAGCTTCTCGGAGACCCTTTTCCAGGAATATAGAAGGAAGCTATTCTTGAACATTTGGGCGCCTTAACCAGGGGAGACTAGAACATTTCGCTCCATGCTTGCCAACCTGCCATTCCCCTTTTTATGCGTTATTCCCCTTCCCGCACTCGACGTACGGCCCAGCCATGCTGGTTTTCTTGCTGTTCTTCACGTTCGTCATCTCTTCTCCTTTTCTTTGCACTAGCAGTTACCCATACCTAGAATGTACTTTTTCCTAACGTGCTTCTCGTAGAAACCCTTGTTTTCTCTGAAAAGGCTCAAATAGAACCTTCTACATGAAGCCTTGTCTGATGTCTCCCAGCTCCCAGTGCCTTCCCTGAAAAAAAATTACTTTGCTTTTTGGTATATATCTGTATATGTGTGTTGTGCCCTCTTCCCCCCAGTAGAATGGAAAACTTGTGTTCAAGTACCTCTTTGATTGAGCGACCTGATTAGTAGGATTTAGAATTGGAGGAAACCTCCATTTTAGGGATGAAGAAACTAACAGGCCTGAGAGAAGAAATAGTTTGACTGTGTTCATACCGACGTCTTAATTCTGGTATTCATCAAATGCCTACGAAGTGCAGTCGTTCTGCTGGGAGGGCCAGTCTGGTATTACCCTCCAGAAGTTTTTATCCTTTTAGGGAGAAAAAAATCTGTAATCCTTTAAGTAAAAACATGATTATTTGGGGAAGGTTGGGGGCACTAAAAACTAGAGGGCTCAGGAAGGTTCTCCATAGGTGATAGAACCCAGGTTGAAGCTTGAAGAAAGCTAAAGATTATAAGAGGTTGAGGTGAGCGAATGTACTACAAAACATGAGAGTGGGGAGACAGTCATTGCAAAGGCACAGACGCTACCAAGTGGGAGGAGCATCAAGTTGATCAATTTGCCGGAAATATTATGATTTGAAGGGAAGTAGTATGAAATAAATCCAGAAAGGTAGTCTGGAGCCGAATTATGCAGGACTTAAAATGTCAAGCTAACAGTTTGTATTTTATCCTTGAGGCATTAGGAAGCTTGAGAATACACTTGAACAGAACAATGACATAATCAGACCTGTGTTTTAACAAAATTATTTTGGCAGCTGTGTGGATGATTGATTGGTTCAGTCTCTCACTTGTTTTCTTTAGACTTGTTTTTTTTCTTTTTTCCTGTGAGTCTCCTTTTATGAGACATTGCACACAATCTACCATCCTTCTCTGAGATTTTACAAAGGAGTTTTTATTCTTTTTTTTTGGCAATTGGGGTTAAGTGACTTGCCCAGGGTCACACAGCTAGTAAGTGTCGCCACCTAGCTGCCCCCAGGAGTTTTTATTCTAAGCTATTGTTGTAATGTACTGTCATCTCTCTCCATCTGGCAAGGTCTTCTCTTTATGGCAACTAATTAATTTATCCTTACTTATGATTTCATTTTGGTAGAACTCTGATGTGAGGAAATTCTACTGATGCAGATCAACATCTCATCTGCAGTTCTTTTTTTTTTTGTGAGACATTTGGGGTTAAATGACTTGCCCATGGTCACACAGCCAGTAAGTGTCAAGTGTGTGAGGCTGGGTTTGAACTCAGGTCCTCCTAACTCCAGGGCCCTTGCTCCACCAAGCCCCTTGTAATCTTTAGAGTTGCCTGGAGAGCTAAGAGTTTGTTCCTTGCCCACTGACATAGCCATTATGTATCCTAAGCAGGACTTGAGCTCCTGACTGTGAGTCCAGCTTTCTGTCCACTAGCCTTTGGCAATTGATTCATATTATTAGTTAAACTTTTTTTGAAAAATGTTACCAGTATGGATTTTCCTCTGTCCAGTTCCCATTTTTTGGCATTAATAACTAGTTTAAGTATATCAAATTCTCATTGTTTAGTTCCGTATCATGTCTGTTTTTCTCTAGTTTTTGTTTTTCTAGTTTTGTGTTAGTTTTAATCTCTCTCCTAAAGAAAAAAGCGGGAAAATAGGGCTGACTTTTTTTTTTGTCTTTGTATCAAACTCAAGAACTATTTTAGCATGAGGCCTTTCCTGATGCTCCAAGCTGCTGGTATTTCCTCCCCTAAATTGCCTTGTGTTTATTTTCTGTATAGTTATAGATGTATATATTTCTTCTGAGAGAATCTAAGCTCCTGGAGGGCAGGGACTGTTCATTTTTGTCTCTGTTTAGAGTTGTCATCTCAAGCTCAATATGTCTAAAATGGAACTACCTTATATCTACCCATCCTTAAAATTTCCCTATTTCACCAGGAAAAAACAAACAAACCAGAAAGAGCTATAGAAGACATCACTGATGGTGGTATGAACTAGTATGGTTAAGACAGATCTGGCTTCAAAGGTCTTGCTGTGAGCAAGTTGGATTCGTTAAGATGGAGGATGACCTTTTCAGACCTACAGCCTATCAGTTAATCAATCATGGTGCCTTTTGAGCTAAAAAAGATTCATAGTCACTCTGTGAATCAAACTTACTCTCAGAAAGTAAGTCCTTTACTGGCAGGATCCATCTACATTGGTCTCTGATTCATGGCCTTGTACATGTCAGTAGACTAGGATTTAGGGTTTACATCAATTTCTTTAAATTTACTTCACTGCCAGTATTAGTTTTGCGTTCATTTTGTAATCCAAAGTGATACTATACATTAAGGATGCTGTTGTTTTTTTTTCATTTTTAGGCAGTTGGGGTTAAGTGACTTGCCCAGGGTCACACAGCTAGTAAGTATCAAGTGTTTGGTCTGAGGCCGGATTTGAACTTAGGTCCTCCTGACTCCAGGGTGGGTGCTCTATCCACTGTGCCACCTAGCTGCCCCAAGGATGCTATTTTGTAGGAGAGTGTAGATACCCCTTCACCAGGATCACTTCACTCATCAGTGTCCTCTTTCTATGTCATGTACACAACCTTCTGTACATATGTACTCTGGAATGGATATATTATAACTTCATATTTTGCCCTATACCCATTTTTCTGTTTCTTGTGGTACTTTCCAAAAGGCTGCTTTGGCCCTTGTTATCCTCTTGGGTGCATTATCTATTCCAGTTGAATTGACAATGTGTATTTCTTCCTTGGAGAGTGATGCACAGATACTTAGGGCAGCTCCTTCTCATTGATATTTTAGAAACTCTTATTTTTTTTGTTTTGTTCTGTATAAGCCATATTCATTGTACACTGTGTGTATGTTTTTGTTTAAATAAATGTGGCTTTTATTTTTAAAACATTTCCCTATTTCTCTTGAGTGCATTACCATAGTACTTACCACATATTAGATGCTGAATAAATGCATATTGATTGATTTGATTTGATTTGATTTGGTTTGGTAGAGCAAAATTCAACCTTAAAGTTTCTCCTCCAACAAAGTCTCATATCCATATGTCAAAATTGCACAAGATTTTTTAACATTAGAAAGAATCTTGTTTGAGAACTCTCATTGCAAATATTAAGTGTAAAACAGAATGATATTTGCTTGCCAAAGGTGTTCAACACTGCAATGGCAAGAGATCCAAGTAGAAAATGGATTCTTTAGAGATGGGGATATATTCCAGATGTCTGGTTTTAGATGACTTTGTGCTGATTATATTGAGTTCCAGAACATTGCAAAGCCTCTTAAATGACATCCATTAAAAAAAAATTGGCCTATCTGTCCACTAAGAAATAGATAAGTGGATGAATGCAATCATTTGGATAGAGCTTGTGTATCAGCATATATGTATGTCTAGAACAGACAATGTAAATGAAAAAATAGCTTATTAGTTGAACAAGACCAGAAGATTGGGTTTATGGGAAATATCTAGTGTTGTTATGACCCCAAGAACAAAGTCTTATCTTTTAAAAACCACTATTCTTTTTGTGGTCATTAGACTGTAAGTCATAGGACACTGTAGTCTCCATAGATTTTTAAGTTGAGGATCACCAAAGGGCAATGAGGAGGTATATGGTGAGTATGAGCAGGTTAGAACGTATTTAAACAAGGAATTATTATTATTATTATTATTATTGTTTTTGGTTAGGCAGTGGGGTTAAGTGACTTGCCCAAGGTCACACAGCTAGTAAATGTTTTGTATCTGAGGCTGAATTTGAACTCAGATCCTCTTGACTCTAAGGCCGGAGCTCTATCCACTGCACCACATAGCTGCCCCTAAACGAGGAATTATGAAGAAGAAGCCGTGTAAAAGGTAATATCAAAGAAATGTATGACTATAAAAGAAGATAAACTGGTCACGTGGCAAATGTAAATCATGGACAAATAGTATGCCTTATTGGTATCCTCATACTGTTAAGAGAATACAAGAAAGACTCCTGGGACATAGGGTGGACCCTCTGTGGCAAATTTGTGAGAAGACAAGGATCAGAGTCACCCAATGTGGACAGGCATGGTTAGTTTACAGTGGGCATTATTGGAAGCTTTATCTATTTGAATGAGATCACAGCCACTAGAACTGAATTGTCGCTGTGTGGAGGATGGTTA